ATCACTCCCCTAATGGGCCTGAAGAAAATGGGGAAGACAACACTCCTGGGACTGTCGTACGATAATAATATGGAGTGGAGGGTGGAGCATGAGTTGTTCCCGAAGCATTTTACCGCATGGGAGCTGGACAAAACGTATCACGTGGTGCTCAAAATGCGTGACGGTGTGGGCTCCGTGTACGTTGACGGGACTCCCCTTTGGAATATGAGTCTGAGAAATTCGTTCAATGAAGGGCTGGACGCGGTCTCACACTTTTACTTTGGCGCGTACGATGAGCAGTTGAGCAGCGGAAAAATCCATGCGACGGTGGCGAACGTCTTTCTGTACAACCGTCCGTTGAATGAAACTGAGATTGGCGCCCTCAACGCGAATAAAGTCACCATTCCACCTCCGGAAAGGAAGCCGGTGCCGGCGGCGGCAGCTACTTCCCCGTCCGTTGAATCTGCCAACGATAGGGTGAACACAAATACACAGCCAACTGTGCCATCGCCTGCTACTGCCGGACCACAGCAGACGGACCAGGCAACTTTGAACACGAGCAGTGTTCCGAGTGGTGGCGCTCCATCCACACCAGCGGAGCCGAAATCAGAAGAGCCCAAACCAGCGGAGTCGAGGCCAGAAGAGCCCAAACCAGCGGAGTCGGAATCAGAAGAGCCCAAACCAGCGGAGCCCAATGCCGCGACATCCTCAGCAAGGGAGGGAACTGCAGACCAGCCGGTATCTGCCACATCTTCCGATGGACATGAAGCTCTGGCATCTGTTACATCTTCAAGCGCCGCCATTACTGATGTCGGTGCTTCCTCATCTGATGATGCACAAACGGTGGGGACGGAAGGTGGAGATATGATGCAGGCAGATCAACCAACCCAATTCTCTGTGGGCACCCCCGACGCAGCAAATGCAGCAACACATAACGCTGAAGGCAAGGGACAAGAAGGGCTCCATCCACAGGTCAAGGAAGCAGAGGCGGCGACACTCAGCAGCAGCCTTTTAAATTCGTCGCAGTGGGATAACAGCGTTGCTGGTACTATGCGTGAGAGCGGACTGCTGCCGCTGCTTCTTCTGCTGGGGCTGTGGGGGTTTGCGGCTGCGTGAGGAGTGTGCGGCTGCCGTGTGGAGCACTTGTGCCCTTCCCTGCACCGACACACACACCGCTAGGAATAAAATTTCACTACACAGTGAATAATTTGTTTTATTTTAATTGCTTTGTTTTACATTTTTCCCTTGCTGCCCTAAGGCAACCACCATGGGCGGTTTTTTTTCGGCTTTTAATTTTTTTCTTTTCTGTTTGGAGTATAATTTCTTATGTTTTTTTATGTTTGTTTTTAATTATTTTTGTTTGCTTTAAAAAAAAAAAATATTTATTTCTGTTTTTTCTTTTTTGCTCCACTCTTCCCTTCTCTTTTTGCTTTTGGGGGCAACCACTATGGCCGTTTTTTCTTTTCTACTTTTCCCTCTTTTTAATTATTTCTTGCTGCGCTCTTCCTGTGAGGGGTGCCGTGTGTTTCCCGCCCAACTGCTCCACTCGCACACCCACCGACACGCTCATGACGACGGCCCTGTGCGCCTCGCCTGCTGCACGCATGAGGAGGGGCCGCGACGAACGGCGCGCTGAGGGAGCCGTGACGTGTGGGCGTGCGACGAGGGCCGGTGGGGCGGAGCACACATTTCTTTCCCTCTTGTTTTGTTTTTATGCGGCCAGGGCGGGCAGACACCCGCAGCGCCACACACACACAGCCACACCCTGCCGTTTTTTTAGGATTTTTTTTTGCTTCGCGTGTGCATTTCACGCTCCGGCAGTCCCTTCGGGGTCGGCCTCGTGAGTATTTCTCTCCCCTGATGTGTTTTTTTTTTGCTGCGCTCACTCCCCCGATGGAGAGACGCGACTCCCGTCATGTCTGCGTGCTTCTCTCAGTCCCCACACACACACGAGTGACTGTGCTCTGCGGGCCGCACTCACGCGCCGATGAGAGGGCTGAGGGGAGCAGCAACACGCAGATGACCCCGTGAAATATAAACGATGTGCGGACACATGGAGGGTCAGACGGTTGAAAGACACGTAATTATTTAATTTTTAATTTGTGGGCAAAATATACAAACAGCTTGGTGGGCCACACGGTAACCGGGTGATTTTTTTTTTCCTTTTTTTAGGAGTAAGAGCAATGGAGGACGACTCCTTTCTTGCTTTTTTTTCTTTTTATATAATTACTTTGTGCGGGCTGGAAAGATAATGGTGAAAGGGGAGGTTTTTTTTTTATTGGTAACTGTTTTAAATAAATCTTGTATGACTCGCCACTGCTTGGGCTGCGGTGCAATCGTGAGTTTGAGCAGTCTTGTTATTTCTACCATGCGGCTCTGCTGTGCATTTTGTTTTTGCGTTTCTTCACATGCTCCGTTTCTTTTTTTACTTCTTTACCTCTTGTTTCTGCAGGCACGCACAAGCACACGCACACAGAGTGCAAATCACAGTGGATTCGGATGGTTCTTTTGCGGTGCGTGTGGCAGCTGCATGTGGGTGCTGCTTTTTCCCGTGGGCATGAATCGAAGGGAGGAGAGAGGCAGCGCGCAGGGCGAGTGTCTCTTCCTGATGGTGTGGGGGCGCTGCGTTGTGACCGCATGGAGTGAGGCGCCGCGTCGTGGATGGATGAGGAATTGCTTCTGCGTGTGGCTCTTTGGGTGATTGCTTGCTCCGTGTGCGTTGTGTTTGTTGGCAGCGGGCTGTGGCCGTATGCCGTTGGCCGTGGGATTGAACTGGAGGCGGTGGCGGTGTGTCCCTTCTCTTCCCCTTCCATTGGTGGTTGATTGCTGGCGGTGTGTGCGTTTGTTGTGTGGAGGGCCGAATCCTCTCACCCGCGGACTGACGGCGCTGCGATGGTGACTGTTTGTGTCAGAGGGCTGGTGTGGGCGATGGTCCTCCGTGCTGCCCCTTCCGGATTGTCTTTTGTCCCGCTCTCTGCGTGGGTGCTCTGCTCTGCTCCTCACTGACCTTTCTTGTGTATTGCCGCTGTTGCTGTCTTTCTATTTCTTGCACACACACACGCTAGGAAAGCAAGCAAACGAACGCGAATCGCAACTGTGAAATTCGAAGGCTCTGAAATTTCCAACCACAGCACACACACCGCACACACACACATATTTATATGCATTCACGTGTTGCTGCTGTGAAGGCACCCCGCACACACAACCGTCGCCGCGTGACCGGATCCAGCGGAAGGAGGAGGGAAGGAGGAGAGGGTGAGCCGCAGAGGCCCAACATGTCCCGGCGTGTGCTTACCTCCGCGGTGCTGCTTCTCCTCGTCGTGATGATGTGCGGCAGTGGTGGGACTTCGAACGCCGTGAAGAGTAATTCGGGGAATGCGCAATTGCCTCATACGGTCGATCTATTTTTGCCGAATCAGACGCTGGTTGTACCGAAAGGCGGAACGTCTCAAGAGACGAAGAGGGATGCATTTGCTTCACCCTCTCTCGTCAGTGCTGGTGGAGTAATTGCTGCTTTCGCCGAAGGCCTCATGTATGCCGAATATGTCGTTGAAGGTGGTAAAGTAATTGAGCCCATTTCTTCTGATGTTGTTGCGGAGTACATCGACGCTACGTGGGATTGGTCCGCTCTTGTTGGCAAGGTGAGTGAAAGTACATGGAAGGCACACACCGTGCTTGGTCCAACGGATGGAACGGATAATCGTGTGGGTGTTTTTTACCACCCCACAACCACCACGAAGGGCAATAAGGTGTTTCTTCTTGCGGGAAGCCTTGCTGAGCTCAAACAAAATGATGGGAGGAGGAAATGGGACAACCTGGGTCTGAAACTGGTTGTGGGTGATGTGAGGGAGCCTACGAGCAGCGAGCTGACTGAACGTATCAAATGGGACCAAATCAGGTCTCTGTTGAAAGAGGGTACTATAGCTGCTCACGAAGGTAAATTGAAGGAGTTTCTTGCCGCTGGTGGCTCAGGTGTTCTGATGGAGGATGGCACGGTTGTGTTTCCACTGATGGCGAAGAGCGGAAATGGTGACGTTTACTCCATGATCATTTACTCGACGGACGACGGCAGTAATTGGGCGCTCTCGAAGGGCGCTTCCCCTGCGAAATGCGGTGCACCCCGCGTCACCGAATGGGAGGGATCACTTCTCATGATTGTTGACTGCGAGGATGAACAGAAGGTGTACGAGTCGCGTGACATGGGGACAGCGTGGACGGAGGCAGTCGGGACACTTCCAGGCGTGTGGGTCAAATCACAATCATTCTTTTGGTATCTGAGCTTGCACGTGGATGCTCTCATCACCGCGACCATTGAGGGCAGGAGGGTCATGCTGTACACACAGCGAGGGAACTCCTCGGGGAAGAATAAGGCCAATGCGCTCCACCTTTGGGTGACGGACAACAACCGCTCGTTTTCTGTTGGACCGGTTGGCATGGACAATGCTGGGAAGGGGGAATTCGCCAGCGCCCTGCTGTACTCGGATGGCAAGTTGCATCTTTTACAACGGAGGGGCAATGGTGAAGGCAGTGCCATTTCATTTTCCCGCCTGACGGAGGAAGTGAGTACGATCAACTCCGTCCTGAAGACCTGGGCGCAAAAGGACGCCTTCTTCTCCAGCTTGTCTATACCCACAGCTGGTCTGGTGGCAGTTTTGTCAAACGCATCGGCCAGCGATGGCACGTGGAACGACGAGTACCTTTGCCTGAATGCAACGGTGACGAACGCAAAGAAGGTCGAGGATGGATTGCAGCTGACGGAGCCTGACTCCGGGGTAATTTGGCCTGTAAACATTCCGGATGATAATGTGCGTCATATATCCTTGAGCCACAACTTCACACTTGTGGCGTCGGTGACCATCGAAAAGGCTCCGAGTGAGGACGCTCCTCTACTGGGTGCGATGTTGGGGGACAATAATTCCCCGCATACCATGGGAATCTTGTATACCGCGGATAGAAAGTGGATGACGGTGCTCAAAGACAAGACAACAAAAAGTGGCACTTGGGAGCCGGGGAAAGAATACCAAGTGGCACTCATGCTGCAAGGCAACAAGAGCTTTGTGTACGTTGATGGCAAGCCGCTGGGGGAAGAAGAATTGCCGTTAAAAAGTGAGAGGCCACTTGAGCTCGTAAGCTTTTGCTTTGGCGCGTGCGGTATACAAAACTTTCCTGTGACGGTGGCGAACGTCTTTCTGTACAATCGCCCACTGAATTCCACTGAGATGACTGCAATCAAGGACAGGAAACCCGAAGATAAAAAAGAAAAGGGAAGCGGTGACGGCTCCATGCGTGAGGGTATGTCTCGGGTGCTCCCGCTGCTTCTGCTGGGGATGTGGGGCATTGCGGCCATTTACTGAGAAATCGCAGTGAGGAGTTCCTGCCACCAGCGGGAGCTATGTGTACCTCTCCACGTACCCTCCGAAATAATTGACTTTTGTGTGGATGCAACTTTTGTTTTATCTGTTTTTTTTATCGATTGGACTACCCCTTTCTGCCTGTGTAAGTCGTTGTGTAAATGGCGTGCTCTCCCTCCCGGGACTGCATCGCGGGGCCCGTGTTTTTTTTCCTTATATATATATATATATAGTGGAATATTTTGAGATTGGCGGGATGTCTTTGATGTTTCCGTATGTTGATGACACGTGCAATCGGCATTGAGCGCCACGACGATGGTGCTATGAAAAAAAGGGATTTAAGATGTGCAGCAACGCACTGAATGTCCCAATGAAATGTGGGTGTTGTGTGGACACCAGGGGGTTGAACGGCTGACGCAAATATATTTTTACTTTTGCAGGAAGAATATACACGTGCTTTTTTCCTTTGTTTTTTTTTTTTTGCGTCACGATGTTTTTCTTTTTTCTTTTTTTGTAATATTTCTGTGGGTGTGGAAACTGCCTCAAGGAAACCTTTTTTTTTTTTCGTTTCAGTTTTTTTTTTTTTTTTTTGTGAGCGTGAAAAACTTCTTCAAGGGGACTGTTTTTTTGTTTTAATGTTTTTTTTTTTTGTTTCTTTAATCGTATTGTGGGTTGCCGTGCCATCTCGAGCCTGATTGGCCTTCTCTTTTCCTCTTTGTCCGTCCTGCACCTCTGCTGCGTGTTTTTCTGCCCTTTCACGTGCGTGGCTCTTTTTTTTTTTTTTTGTGCGTTGCTGTGGTTGATTCCTGCGTGGGGTGCGTGTGGCCCCAAAACAAAGTTGTCCGAGGGCACACCTCTCTGCACGATGGCCGCAGCGTGCAGTTGTCACTCTGTTCTCTCGAGAGATATGCCACGACGCCTTCACTTGTGTGTTGCTTCGGGGACAATGTGCCGGTGGCTGTGCGATTGCCGGGTGGAGGGAATTGCGTGGGTGCAGCGGTCAGGAGTCGCGCTGGGTGTCTCGTCGTGGAGCGCATTGCCCGCCCAGCCCAGCACTGCTCCTGCCGGGCACCTTCTATCAAACTGCAGGATTGTAATCGACGCCACCAGCACGCGGCGAGGCAGTGGATGCCACCACCACCACGAGTGCGACCGGAAGGGACACGTCCGCTGTTACGTTCCGAGGGGACACGACGCGTGGCACAGCGGCGTGCCCAAAACCTTTTCGCGGAGCCCGCACACGACACCGGCCACTGGCCGCGGAGTGTTTGCTTCCTGAAGGACGCCGCGGTGGAGTCTCTCCTTCCCTCCAGGCGGACGGACGCCTGATTTTCCCTTCGTTTCCATCCAGGCGGGTTGCTGCGCGATGACACCACAAAGATGCAGTTGTTTTTACCATGGAGGGGTAATGTCTGCAGGGTTACGCATTGGGAATATGAATGGCGGATGCAATGGGAAAAGGAGCGTTATGGTTCTTTTGTGCCGTGCGAATTGCGGGGATTTTTCATAAAGCATGTAATTTGCTTTTTTGTGTTTTCTTGTGTGGGGAAACTGCTATGATGCATCGCTGTTGTGGCGTGTATGATTTGGAGTCCTTGCGTGTGGCCGCTGCTTTACCGAATTCTCTTCCCACTTGTGTGTGTCAGGGGCGATATGCCCGCACGTCCTTTTGTCAAGTGTGTGCGGTGACGGCGGTGCCACACGGGCGCGGGGACCGTAGCGAGCGGGATGCATGGGCTAACCCTCCGCGCTCACCACGTTGTTGTTATCGTTTGCTCTCTCCAAAACTGTGCTGGGTGTATGGCATCCACTTGCCGTCGTTGCGGTGGTCCTCGTGCATTTGGTGTGCATCACACACCGTGTGGATGACTCTCGTGCTGAGGCTGTCAGTCATGCCTGTGCCTATTGTCTCTTACTCTTATTCCTTTTTTTGATTAGTGGTCAGTGTTTGGCTTTAACTCAATCCAACTACGAAAACAGGTATATAATCGATTCTCACGCGGAAGAGAATAATAAATAGTCTTCTCTCAGGCGCGGAATTCAACGAAGGTGGCTGAGGGATGTACTTGCTGGAGGGACAATACGAGTCTGTGTACAATGCGAGGTGGAGCCATGTCGTGGAAGTTACTGGCGGCGAGGGGACGGGAATGGAGGCTTATGAGGGGGAACCACCGCAGCCATGGACGTACAAGGCAGTTGGCAACACCCTCGAAAAGGATGACGGTGTGCAGCAATCCGGTGCACCGCGTCTCAGGCTGATGGTGCTCACCTCGGACAAGGCATGGCCGTACTCGTGGGGTGCGTGTGAATTCAATCGTGACTGCTATGTGAACTGTGAGGTGGAGCGCGTGTGGCAGATTGTCAAGGGCGTTGTAGACAAATGGTCCAGCGGTCACGGTGAGACCGACTTTACGCCTGATCCGTGTGTGTTGATTGGGACGCCCGGGATCGGGAAGTCGATGGCTGCCGGTTCGTACCTCCTCTATCAGCTGCTGCACTACGATGCGGAGAAACTCCCTGTGGTTGTGTACTATATTGCGGATCAAACATTTCTGTTTGACAAGACCACCAAAAAGTTGTCAGAATACTTGGGTAAGGGCAGTACCCTCGATGTTGTGGACAGGCTATCTTGGCGCGGGGTGAAGGGGTATATTATCTACGACGTGGCAGAGGAGGTGTATCGTCCGTCTGTTGGTTTGCCCTGCAATGGATGGGGCATGATTGTGGTAACATCACCAAACGAGAATAAATACGAATTGTGGGCGAACCAAAACTTACCCTTACAAATCGTAATGAATTGCCCTGACGAGAGCGACGTGAAGGCAATGTGCGTTTGGGAACAACGCAGTAAGCCTCCGCAGCAGCAAGCGGAATACTGGCGAGAGGTGAAGGGTCGCATGGACAAAGTTGGACCGATTCTTCGCTACATCTTTGATGAGCAAGCATATGATGATCGGATTGAGAAGTGTCACGAAACCGTGGAAGAGACGATTTCCCCGGAAACTCAGTATTACACTGGTTTGGGGAATTTTACGATGTGGTGTGGTAATAGCGTGTTCCACTGGCTTGCGAAGGTTGTACGAATACGAGAGGAAGTTTGCAAGGGTGAATTTTCTTTGAATTTACCGATATCTGCCCATCTCTGCAATAAAACATTGTGCATGTTGGCAAAGTTAATGCAGCAGGATGATTTTAATTCACTCATATTGAGACTCAAGCATAATCTTGTATCGGAAAATATGGAACGGTGTACCGTGTTTGCATTTTTGGATGCGGACTTCATAACTGCAATACGACACAAAGTGAGGGAGCTGAAGCGAACAACACGACGTCAGCCACACCGCAGTGCGCTGGAGGTGTACTCACAGGAGCGCCCCACCAGGCACCATGTCTTACCGCCACCGCATTACTTTTCCGAGAAGGTTGGCGTAGATTGCTGTGTGTTGTACGTACCGGGGGTGGAGGACTTTCCGCTGGTGGACGCCTTCTTTTTCGTGAATTCAAATCCGAGGACGCTGGTTGGGCTGCGGATGTCCACGGCAAGTGAGCACCACACCACCGCCAGCACTGTGAGGCAGTTCACTGAGTGTCTGGCGGCGTATTTTAATGGTTGGGAGGAATTGTCCCAAGAATTGTCGTGGGAGATAATTTATGTGCAGCAGGCAGACGGCACGCCGATGAATGACTGGCAGAGATGTGATGTTGTCAATACCGATGGTGTGAGCGAGGAGGAAGACCAGAGGATTGCGGCGTTCTGGAAGGGAAGGGTGCTCCAGTACCAATTGGCAATATCACCCGGAGACTTTAGAAGAGACGAGGCTCTCCGAAGTGAGGTGTAACCACAGAAATGGGAAAAGCAAATTAGGGAGGGAAAGGGGCAGTTTTGATTTCTGGTAAAAAAATATTGGGTGATTTATATATTTTTGGATACGTGTGTGTGTGTGCATACGGTGCGGGTGCACCAGGAACAGACGGCAGTAAGGCACACAGATGCCACAAATGCCTAACGCTATCGAACATAACAGTGACAGAATAAATTAGGGAGGGAGTGGGGTTGTTTGGTTTCTGGTGAAAAACATTGGGTGATTTTTATATAGTGTGTTAATTGTGTGTGTGCATACGAGGCTTAATTGGAGAACTGCCTCGGTATGAGGGAATCATTGTGGCTGGCGGTGTCACGGCGTTACCGCATTGTCCATTTTATTCTATTGTGTTCTAAGGCCCATCACTAACAGAGGCAGCTTTAAGGGATGTACGACGAATAAGTTCTATTGGGGAAGCAGTGCGCTCCGTGTGACCGCATGGAGTGGGGCGCCGCGTCGTGGATGGATGAGGAATTGCTTCTGCGTGTGGCTCTTTGGGTGATTGCTTGCTCCGTGTGCGTTGTGTTTGTTGGCAGCGGGCTGTGGCCGTATGCCGTTGGCCGTGGGATTGAACTGGAGGCGGTGGCGGTGTGTCCCTTCTCTTCCCCTTCCATTGGTGGTTGATTGCTGGCGGTGTGCGCGTTTGTTGTGTGGAGGGCCGAATCTTCTCACCCGCGGACTGACGGCGCTGCGATGTTTGCCTCACGGAATTATTGTCGTGGCCACGGGGCTGACGGCATCGACCAGCGCCCTGACCGGCCGCGTCCTGCTGGGACACAGTCGTAACACCATGAGGTCTGAAGAGCACGTGTTATCGCAATGCAGACCATCGGATTTATTTTATAAAACACGAGGAAAAACAGAATGTGGGAGGGGAGTTTGGCGGTGTTGTTGTCCGAGAGGGCACCTTCAATACTACGAAGCCCTCAAGCCTTGCCATAACCGTCGCGCGTGTGGTGCGGCAACACATTCCACTGCGTGCCACGCAGGAGAGCACGTCATCCGTGGAAATGTGATACCCCTCCACTTTTTTTTTTTTTTTTTTTTTGTAGGAGCTTGTGAAGAGAATGATCACAGAGGAAAGCTGACTGCCTTAATTAATTTTAAATTCTGATAATAACGAATTCACTTCTTTATAATAACTTTTTTTTTTTCTGTTTTATGAACGTGGGAAGAACACAACTGTGGGGGGGGGGAACAGAGAGCAGGAAGCGAATAGGCAGATTTTTTTTATTTTATTTTTATTTTGCCATTCCACCCACCCAACCCCCTTTTGATTCCCACCACGCGACGGGGTCTTTTGCTCGGAAGATCCCAAAAGTCTGCCGCGTCGTAAGTAATTATCTTTCAGATTCTAACTGAGGACAAAAGACCATGCGAACGGTCAATAGAATTTATTGATTGGATAAAAAGAAAACATTGAGGCATTTAACGAACTCTGCGATAACCCCATCTTTTTTTCCCCTACCTTTTTTTTTTTTTTTTTTTTTTTTGGTTTCTAAAAGAAATTTCAGGATCCGGCCAGCGGCACAGAAGATTATTCAGTCTTTTATTTTTTCCATTCATCCTGCCGGGAGATGAATATTTGTGTGGGTCCCGTAAGACTTGACGGGCCGACGAAAAGCCAAAATGGATGAAATGTTTTTTTTTTTTCTTTTCTTTTCTTTGCGGTCCCACAGAAGTTGGGGTGGCGGTTCTGTGTGTTTGTGTGCGTATGCCCTTCTCTCTTCACTTTATTATTGTCCGTGTGTAGTGCTGGGTGTGGAATGGGCGCATGCCCCGGTGTATCGAATGCAGCGCTTTTGTTCAGAGAATTGTTCATCCAGAGACGGAAATGGTCGAGAAGTGCGTGTCGTGCGGTAGATGCTGCGACAAGTACTATGAATTCGCTGATGTTCAAAAGTGGATTGATGTTGTTTTGTTGGAAAGACGTGCCTGGATGCATGTGTTGTTTAATCAGAGAGGGATTTTTTCATCGTTGTTTCTTGCGTCACTTGTTTGCTGCCTGATTGAGGCCTACGTTGTGCGAACTACATCGGTCTATGCCGACATACGGAACAGGAAAATTCTTTTTCCAGCAACGCCAGGCAGCAACTTGAGTGGGGAAGATAGTTTGCAGCTTGTGAGAAATCTCCGTTCAGATATGCTGCCACTGATGATGTACGCTGACACGTGGCCGACGCTGTTCCTGTACGCCTCTATGGAGTACTTTCTCTGTTTGATTGCTGCCGTTTGGATCGGCGTTCAGTCACAGCGCGGCGATGCCTCTGGGCAGGATGATGCGATGACCACGTGGGCAACATCTGTGAGCCTTGCCTACACAGCGAAGGTCGGCTACCTCGTTTTCCTGGTGTGGCGCATCCCCATTCCGCTGGTTGTTGTGGTGGATTTTCTCTTTCTTCTTTGGATGGTGCGGGGCTTCAGCATCACGGCCAGCAGTCATCCCAGCCGGTTCCTGGCCATTGCCGCATTGGTTGTTTCTGTGCTCTCGCGGGTTCTTTTCCGTCACCTCACAGCATGGAGCCCACAAGTCATATTTTGATCTTCCCTCTGTGTGTCTGTGTGTGTGATGTTTAATCATTATTATCATTTCTTTTTTATTTGTGGGTTTCAAAAAAAATATTTATTATTATTATTATTAAATTAGTGTGCATCCATTACACTGCATCTAAAGTGTTGTTTCCCTCTTTCTCTCTCTCCTCTTCGCTTTCTGCCTGTCTTTGACCTTCTTCTCTATGCATGCAACAAACGCACAGCGCAGCATTCAAAGTGATATCCTCCCAATGGAGACGAAAGTCGTTTTTTGCTCCCACCAAACCACGACGCCGTCCTCGCCGCTCCCCGCGACAATACGGGTGGACGGCAACACGGTGCAGTTCAATTGCCCCCAGCCCCTGAGGGATGCCGGATTTCCGGTTGCTGAGGCCTCGTTTGACGTCGATGTGGCGTTGGACGTGCCGGACGCAAGTACACTCTTCCGAAAACTGTTTGCCACTGCCGCCTCCAACTTTACTCAGGAACGCAAGAACATGGTGGCCTTCAGCTACGGCGTGCGTTCGTCACCAAAGCGACAACTCATGTACGGCTCTGCAGCTGGTGAAGGATATGCTGCCCGAGTCATCACTGAAGTTATTCAGTCGGCCGCCAAAAAGGGCATTTTTGCCCTCTCGTGCTACGTCATTGGGTCAACAGAGCACCTTGCAGACCTCCTTAACGTCGACAACGAGCTCGGAGTTATTGTCGACTCCGTGAAGGAGGGACCGCGTGTGCGAATGGTGGCGCGAATTCGTGTCTCATCGGCCGGCGACGTTCGAGCGGCGATGGACACTATTGTCAAAAACTATGAGAAATACTTTGCCTCCGTGCTGTGTGAAAAGCAGCCAACGCCTGAGCTGGAGGCAATTCCTTCCTATTTGCCCGATACCGTCGTTCTTCAGCTTTACCGCTATGATGGTGAGGCGGAGTTTGCAGATTATATGGATGCAAACTCCCTGACATTTGTCGCCTTGGGAGATGCCGAACGGCCCGTTTTATGTGGCATTGACGCCACCGCGCAGCTACACTACGAAAGGGCCCAACGAACATTGGTGTCGGCAGCAGGAATTGTCTCCAGCATTCGCTGCAGTCGTCTACGCATTCCCTTCGGCAAGTCGAAACTCAGTCAGTTGTTGCGCCGAGCGTACAATGCGGAAAAAGGCAACCCCAACAACAGCCTCAATGGTTCTACCGAGACGGTTTTATTGGTTCACGCCTTTTCGGATGCCGTGTGGGCGGAGGAATCGTTCCATTGTCTCTCCATGACTCGTCGTGTTGGCAATATTCTTGGCTCAACCGGAATTGGATCCGTTACAAGGGATCTTGCCGTTGACAAGTGGCGTCTTGATCAGGACATCATGGAGTTGCGGGATGAACTCATGATTGCCCGGACCGTGTACGACTACAGGCCTTGTATCTATGAGTCCAACAAGCCCATTTCAAACATAAAGGAGGAAGAGATGAAGCGCATAAACGCCATTCAGAGCAAACGTGAGGAGGCGCGGGAACGGCAGCTGAGTTTGGTTCGCGAGCGTGCCAAGAATGAGGCGGAGAAGATGATAAAAGAGCTTGAGCAGAGAAGTGGGACCACGTTGGATGAACTTGAGAGGACTCTGGAGGCCAAAAAGAGGGAGAGCAGTGCTCTGCAGGCCGACCGCGAAAATCGCATTCGGGAGTACGAGCAGACGTTGGAGAAGATCCGAAAGAAGAAACAGGACGAGGAGAGTGCCTCGGAGAGGTTGCGGCAGGAGATGCAGCAGCTGGAGCAAGAACTCAGCCTACGGCAGAGCGCCATTGAGACGAAGAAGAAGCAACTCGAGATGATTCAACTTGACAGGGCGAAGGGGCGAGAGGCCATCATGCGGGAACGGCAGTCCATTCAGGCGATGCGAAAGACCGTCCTGGAGGAGCGGCGTCGCCAGCGGAGGCAGTGGATCCATCAGATTAAGGAAATGAATGCAAAAGTACTGGAACAGGTGCGTCTGTTGGCCGAGGAGCGGAAAAAGAACTGCGAGCAGGCGACAGCCAAGGAGGACGCCGCCGAGAGGGCTCTTGTTGCTGACATCAAAACGATCGAGGAGTATTTGCCGAAGCTCATTTCCCTTGAAGACATTCCTGTGAATCCGGAGGAGACGGACATCATTCGACGCCAGTTCGACGAGGTCTTCGCGCAAGAAAAACAGACATATTTGGCCAGGCTTGAAGAGGAAAAGTCCCGCAAGGAGAAGCTGGAACGAGGACTCGAGGTGTATCGACAGCGTATGCTTGATGATTACGTGGCAAAGAAAAACGAAAAACTGCATGACGCCGAGACAAAGGAACACCACCTCAGTTCTCTTGTGGATCAGGTGCTGAATTACTTACGCAACGGGGTCCGCATGACAAAGATATCAAGCAAGGGCAATGCTCGCAGACGCCTATATTTTCTCTCGGAGGACTGCAAACGTATTCATTCCTGTGAGCTGGACCATCAGGGATTCCCGTTAAATCGCAAACGGCCTCCAGTCACCATTTGGATACGTGACATCAGAAAAGTTCTCATCGGCCTGTACACAACCTCATTTGTGAACTACAGCAACGAGGCACAGCTGGCAAAAACACGCCAGGAGGCAGTTTCTGACAATGGGACGTACCGCCATGATCCCACGCAAAACATCACTCCATCCAACCTTGGAATAAACAACTACCGCGCATTCGCACTTTTACTTCGCGGCGGGAAATCATTGGAAGTGGTTTGTGAGACTGACAGCGACTGCGAGGCCTGGCTTGTTGCTCTCAAGCGTCTACTGCATTTGAAGACTCCTGTGGAAAGGCTTCTTGAGGAACGACGGGGTACGTCAAGAGACGCACGTGCGCAGCCGAGCGATAATGACGTGGAAATGCGGTGGGGTGGCCCACTTGACATTCGCAATATGCGAGGATTTGTTTCTTTGGCCCCCGATGAAGCAACTCTTTGCGGCGAGAACCACATTCCGCCAGCCCTCTTCCTTCGGGTGAAACAGGAGCTGGCGGAAAAGTCTCAAAGGAGCACAATAACCGCCTATGACGTCCGAGTTTGCTCGGGCCTGGATCTGTTCCGCTCTGGCCAACTTTACGACTACTTGTGCGAAAAGCGTGTCGTTCCGCTTCCGTACTAATGCCGTGGGATCTTTTATTGTTTTTCTCTCCTTTTTTTTTTTTTTTTCCCATGGTTACTTGTGGGTTTCTTGTGTGCTCTTTTAGATGTATTGAGGCGGCTGGTTAGATAGTGGATAACTGTGGCACGATTTTGTATGGAAAAAGGGACTTTTGTGTCTCACGTGTTTGGATTATTAGTGAATAAAGCGAAAAAAAAAAAAAAGAAAAGAAAAAAAAGGAGATGATAGTCACTACTAATACTGATACTACTGCTGCTGCTTTTTTCCTTTTCTTTGCTGCCGGTTTTAAATGGGCTATCCATTATTTCTTATGGGTGTTCCACACTCTTCTTCTTTTTTCCTCTGTTTCTGGAAGCGTTCTTTTTTTTTTTTTTTTAACACTGCCGTTGTGGGGCCGTTGCTTTGACAACATGCATACGGGGGGTGGTGCTCCTTCCCATAAATGTGCCGTGAAAAAATATTAATATATTTTCAAATGCGCCGTGTGCTTCTCTGTGTGCACGTGTAATGTGGGGCTTAGGCCTCACCCAGGCAGGGGCAATGACATCTTTGCACCATTGCGAGGCGGCCGGCGGTGCGGTGCAATAGCACAATAAACTGTGCGTTCCATATCACACAGAGTATTCGCTACTGTGGGAATCGAACACTTGTTTTTTGGTGAAACTACCAGGGCTTATCCACTGGGTGCGGTGCGTTGATTCGGCAAAGGGGACAGAAGGGCGTCCTCTATGAAGTGTGCCTGTGGAGGGAGAACTGAACTGCTACCTTGATGACTATAAAATATTGGTATTTATCTGAAACGAGAGGGCGCATCGCTGTGCATGACGAGACTTTATTCATACGGACTTGAGGCGGCGGGTGGAGGAGGCCAACGGGCATGAGCAATACGAGAGCGATGCCATTGTTGCCTGTTGAGATGATTTGAGCAGTGATGATGATAATGATGGGGCGAACACTCTCAGGTAGAAACGCTCTTCTCGCTGTCAAGGTATCAAAGTTGCACGGTAATGTGCCGCAGGTTGACCGGCCCTCTTTTTGTGAGGTTTTCCGACACGTCGGTGGGGCTGCTCGGCGTTCTCCAAAAGGGTGTTCTGTTCTGCACAAATTTGGCTGCCCGAGGATTGTATCCGCCACGGGCGGACTGAAGTGTGCACGACGATCCTCCGGCAGATCCAGCGTGTTGTATTCACCGCACTGGACGGTAAATCCCGCATTGGCAACGTTGGGGACTCTCTGCTGTTCCTCATGCCACACAAGGCAGGATGCATCCCATGCATGAGGACCCTTTATCGCCAAAGAGAGAGGGTTCAGTGGCTCCTTACGGGAAATGAGGCGGCAGCAGCAGCAAATGGAAGAATGCTAATACGTCTCTTCTCTTTCCACCACCTGACGACGCTGGACCCAAAAGGCGGACCACATGTGAATGCAGAGCACAGCCACTTACGTGTGCACTGTTATTTGATTTGTTGTGAAGCGGGATGGAGCCGTCAACGAGTCACCTGGTGGAGATGCGAGCTGGAACGATGATCTCACCCGAATTGCACCGTGTGTGTTCCCATCGTACATGCGGGCACACGCACACAATGCACAAAATATTACGGTGCCGACGGAGGATCCTCTCTTATTCCCCGCCGGTATTTGCTTGCCGCTTTTTTTTGTGGACATGAAGAAAAGAGAGACACCGGGAGGGGATCCACTGCGGTTCTCTCTCATTTTGTGTGCAGCGCACCGCGTGCAGCATGGTTGCCTCAAAATGCAGCACCGCCCGGTAAATCGATGGGGCACGAGGTGAGAGACTCTTCTTTTTGGCTGTTGGTGCACGTGATTGTGCGTTCGCGCGGGAGTTGGGCTTTTTGCGCGCTTGTGTCTCTTCTGTAGATGTGCGATGGCGGTGACGGTGGGCGAATGTTTTTGATCGCACTTTTGTGCGTTGCTGTGGTTGATCCCTGCGTGGGGTGCGTGTGGCCCCAAAACAAAGTTGTCCGAGGGCACACCTCTCTGCACGATGGCCGCAGCGTGTAGTTGTCACTCTGTTCTCTCGAGAGATATGCTACGACGCTTTCACTTGTGTGTTGCTTCGGGGACAATGTGCCGGTGGCTGTGCGATTGCCGGGTGGAGGGAATTGCGTGGGTGCAGCGGTCAGGAGTCGCGCTGGGTGTCTCGCCGTGGAGCGCATTGCCCGCCCAGCCCAGCACTGCTCCTGCCGGGCACCTTCTATCACACTGCAGGATTGTAATCGACGCCACCAGCACGCGGCGAGGCAGCGGATGCCACCACCACCACGAGTGCGACCGGAAGGGACACGTCCGCTGTTACGTTCCGAGGGGACACGACGCGTGGCACAGCGGCGTGCCCAAAACCTTTTCGCGGAGCCCGCACACGACACCGGCTACTGGCCGCGGAGTGTCTGCTTCCTGAAGGACGCCGCGGTGGAGTCTCTCCTTCCCTCCAGGCGGACGGACGCCTGATTTTCCCTTCGTTTCCATCCAGGCGGGTTGCTGCGCGATGACACCACAAAGATGCAGTTGTTTTTACCATGGAGGGGTAATGTCTGCAGGGTTACGCATTGGGAATATGAATGGCGGATGCAATGGGAAAAGGAGCGTTATGGTTCTTTTGTGCCGTGCGAATTGCGGGGATTTTTCATAAAGCATGTAATTTGCTTTTTTGTGTTTTCTTGTGTGGGGAAACTGCTATGATGCATCGCTGTTGTGGCGTGTATGATTTGGAGTCCTTGCGTGTGGCCGCTGCTTTACCGAATTCTCTTCCCACTTGTGTGTGTCAGGGGTGATATGCCCGCACGTCCTTTTGTCAAGTGTGTGCGGTGACGGCTGTGCCACACGGGCGCGGGACCGTAGCGAGCGGGATGCATGGGCTAACCCTCCGCGCCTACCACGTTGTTGTTATCGTTTGCTCTCTCCAAAACTGTGCTGGGTGTATGGCATCCACTTGCCGTCGTTGCGGTGGTCCTCGTGCATTTGGTGTGCATCACACACCGTGTGGATGACTCTCGTGCTGAGGCTGTCAGTCATGCCTGTGCCTATTGTCTCTTACTCTTATTCCTTTTTTTGATTAGTGGTCAGTGTTTGGCTTTAACTCAATCCAACTACGAAAACAGGTATATAATCGATTCTCACGCGGAAGAGAATAATAAATAGTCTTCTCTCAGGCGCGGAATTCAACGAAGGTGGCTGAGGGATGTACTTGCTGGAGGGACAATACGAGTCTGTGTACAATGCGAGGTGGAGCCATGTCGTGGAAGTTACTGGCGGCGAGGGGACGGGAATGGAGGCTTATGAGGGGGAACCACCGCAGCCATGGACGTACAAGGCAGTTGGCAACACCCTCGAAAAGGATGACGGTGTGCAGCAATCCGGTGCACCGCGTCTCAGGCTGATGGTGCTCACCTCGGACAAGGCATGGCCGTACTCGTGGGGTGCGTGTGAATTCAATCGTGACTGCTATGTGAACTGTGAGGTGGAGCGCGTGTGGCAGATTGTCAAGGGCGTTGTAGACAAATGGTCCAGCGGTCACGGTGAGACCGACTTTACGCCTGATCCGTGTGTGTTGATTGGGACGCCCGGGATCGGGAAGTCGATGGCTGCCGGTTCGTACCTCCTCTATCAGCTGCTGCACTACGATGCGGAGAAACTCCCTGTGGTTGTGTACTATATTGCGGATCAAACATTTCTGTTTGACAAGACCACCAAAAAGTTGTCAGAATACTTGGGTAAGGGCAGTACCCTCGATGTTGTGGACAGGCTATCTTGGCGCGGGGTGAAGGGGTATATTATCTACGACGTGGCAGAGGAGGTGTATCGTCCGTCTGTTGGTTTGCCCTGCAATGGATGGGGCATGATTGTGGTAACATCACCAAACGAGAATAAATACGAATTGTGGGCGAACCAAAACTTACCCTTACAAATCGTAATGAATTGCCCTGACGAGAGCGACGTGAAGGCAATGTGCGTTTGGGAACAACGCAGTAAGCCTCCGCAGCAGCAAGCGGAATACTGGCGAGAGGTGAAGGGTCGCATGGACAAAGTTGGACCGATTCTTCGCTACATCTTTGATGAGCAAGCATATGATGATCGGATTGAGAAGTGTCACGAAACCGTGGAAGAGACGATTTCCCCGGAAACTCAGTATTACACTGGTTTGGGGAATTTTACGATGTGGTGTGGTAATAGCGTGTTCCACTGGCTTGCGAAGGTTGTACGAATACGAGAGGAAGTTTGCAAGGGTGAATTTTCTTTGAATTTACCGATATCTGCCCATCTCTGCAATAAAACATTGTGCATGTTGGCAAAGTTAATGCAGCAGGATGATTTTAATTCACTCATATTGAGACTCAAGCATAATCTTGTATCGGAAAATATGGAACGGTGTACCGTGTTTGCATTTTTGGATGCGGACTTCATAACTGCAATACGACACAAAGTGAGGGAGCTGAAGCGAACAACACGACGTCAGCCACACCGCAGTGCGCTGGAGGTGTACTCACAGGAGCGCCCCACCAGGCACCATGTCTTACCGCCACCGCATTACTTTTCCGAGAAGGTTGGCGTAGATTGCTGTGTGTTGTACGTACCGGGGGTGGAGGACTTTCCGCTGGTGGACGCCTTCTTTTTCGTGAATTCAAATCCGAGGACGCTGGTTGGGCTGCGGATGTCCACGGCAAGTGAGCACCACACCACCGCCAGCACTGTGAGGCAGTTCACTGAGTGTCTGGCGGCGTATTTTAATGGTTGGGAGGAATTGTCCCAAGAATTGTCGTGGGAGATAATTTATGTGCAGCAGGCAGACGGCACGCCGATGAATGACTGGCAGAGATGTGATGTTGTCAATACCGATGGTGTGAGCGAGGAGGAAGACCAGAGGATTGCGGCGTTCTGGAAGGGAAGGGTGCTCCAGTACCAATTGGCAATATCACCCGGAGACTTTAGAAGAGACGAGGCTCTCCGAAGTGAGGTGTAACCACAGAAATGGGAAAAGCAAA